ATCAGAACCAAGATTTTGCGTACGAACGCAAAACTCGAGTGGAACCATACACTACGTTCTACTACGTTCCTGGTATATATATTAATCTATTGGCGTTAGAATTTAATTTAATAGAGTTCTTTGTTTATGCATAACTTTTATAAAAAAAAATAAAAATTGCGCATAAATAATTTTGGGGCATGCAATCAAATAAAACTACATAAATTTGATCTACATAATGCTTCGAATACCCCAACGTACTACGTAAAATAATTAAATATGCATTTGTGCATTTAGGGATATAATTGCATTTAACAAGATAAAAATCTGTAGGTGTTATAGTAAAGCCTCCATAAATGAACGCACTTGGGACTGAACTTTAACAACGTGCATTTATAGAACAATAAGAAAAAGTGCACTTATAAAGGTCACTTATATATTTGGGCCATAGGTTGAGCGTGCATTTATTGAGAGTGTGCATTTATACAGGGTGCATTAGTTGGAGATATGCATTTAGGGAGACTTTCATATTAGGCAATGTGCATTTGTGCATTTAAGGAGATATTGCATTTAGCGAGATAAAAATCTGTAGATATTATATTAGCTGGGCTTAAGTGAAGCATACATTTAGGGAGATTTTCATAAAAGTGCATTTATGGAGTTGCGTTTAGGGTTTTTCTATATCGCAAAAAAAAATATATAAATATGCCCTCAGAGACGCGACTATCGATTTCTTTATAATTTGATTACTCTAGTAATCAATTATTTAATATGGATTTGTACGTAAATTTTTTTTTCATATTCCTATTCACTTTTGCCGTAAATGTTCAATCTTATTTAATTTCACGAGAAGCACCAATTTCTGATGGATGCACAAGAATTTATAATGAATTTATTACAAAGAAAAAAACCAATTTCAGTTATGCTGATGTCAACGATTGTTATAAAAGCTTTCCGTTTGATAAAGACGTTGCTTCTAAGGTATTTGTATACATATATGCGTATAAGAATAGTGTTTGTAGTTATATCAATATGTAATGTATTCTAATCAGTCATATGATAATGTTAAAATTGTAGACGATTGATACTTTAAGTGGCCTTGTTTGTGGATTTTATGTATTTTTGGATAAAGCAAAAGAACCTCCACAACTTGGGTTTGACTTTAGACCGGTAGATTTAAAAGCAGAATTAGAAAATTTTCGGAACAAATCTTATTCAACTTTGTATGATTTTACAGTAAATATTTCAATTTTATTTACATTTACTATTTTATATTTTCTGTATAATTTTTTTTTACATTATAATCTTATTATATAATAGATTGATGTTAAGCATCTCTTTTATGATTTAAAAGATGCGCATACATTGTTTGGTTCATATTGCTTTACGACATTTTTATTTCATACGAATATGACATTCTACTCTGTTGTTAACAATGGGGAACAGGTAACTCATATATTTATTATTTATCTGAATCTCGTTTGATAATGTTTTTAACTCCTTTCGCTTTTAGAAAATTAAAGTATTTGATGATACTATTGACCAATCTAATATTGATTGCGAAGTAACACATATTGATGGTCAACAAGCACTCAAAGTAATTTACGAATTTGCCAATAATTCAGTTTATGCATCAAGAAATCTAGGTGTACGATTTAATATAGCTCTTGATCGTGCCTATAAGTTCCCATCTTTTGCTGTACGATCTGAAATACCAGAGAGGCCAGATATCACTTATACGCTCAAATGTGATGATAAAAATGTATTTGATGTTAAAAGAAATTGGAATGCCTTTGCTCAAAATAGTACACTTTTAAATAAGTTTAATAATTCAAATTCCTATTTCGATAATATTTGTAATCCTACAAATGGAATCACACCAACTGGACCTCCTAGTACCTCATTTCAAGAAATTAGAGTTGTACCACCTGATGACTTTAATAAAATTTTAGAGCAACAAGACAAAAGTATAACCACGATAAAAATTATTGATAGCTTTGTTAGCTTTTTTAAAATGCAAGATTTTGGTATTGTTAAATTTTTTACTGAAAGACCCGCTGAACAAAATGAGTCTATAAATATGCTTCCAGATATAATTCAAGGATTTAAAGAGCTGGAAAATATGGGCGTTAAAAAGGTATAAATTTTATGTTTGATACCCTTTTAAATATATTCATTTATTATATTTAATCATTTTTATTTATCTATTGTATTTATTATTCTCATTTATTTATTTATTAAGGTTGTTCTTGACTTATCTGACAATACTGGTGGATTTGTTTTCATCACTTATTTTATCAGTTTACTCTTATTTCCTAACACCTTCCCTTCCTTTGATAATGATATTCGAATTTCCGAACAAATGAGGCTTGCAATTACTGAACAATATAGACTTAAAACCAAAAATAATATTTTTGATTTAACAGGCTATGTTAATGCAAAAACTCTGGCTAATTTTACAAGTGCTGAAGACTTCATTAATGATAATATTTATACACGTGGTGGTGTTATGGATAATTATTCTAATAAATATATTGATGAAGCTAATATAAATGCGATGAGTCAAATTATTCAAAAAAATTTAACTACCCCCCTTCCTTGGAAACCTGAAGATTACATTATTTTAACTAATGGCATATGTGGTTCATCATGTGCCCTTATTACTGAACATGCAGCTGAACTTAATAACGTCTCTACTGTTGTTGTTGGTGGACTTGCATCTGATAATTTAATATCTTATTCTTCATTTACTGGTGGTATGGTTAATAATTCAACTCAAGTATTTACTTCCTTAGGTGAATTGGGTTTACTAAATAATAGTTTAATGCCTAAACCATTTCCCTTAACCGGAATGATGTCCAGTTTTACCACAAAAGAAGTATATAGTAAAATAAAACCAGATGAAATATTGGACTTTGCGTTTAGGCCTGCTGACTTTAGATTATTTTATGATGAAAAAAATATTAGAAATGTTTCAATTTTATGGTCTCAAGCTGCTGCTCTAATTGGTTCAAAACGTGAAAACTAATTAAATTATACAGTATTTTATTATTTTCTATTTACTTTATTCTTTAATTGTTAATATTCAAAAACCATTTAATTTGAACAATTAATTTTTTTTTAAATTCTTATAATTTTAACCACAATTGTTGTACCCTGGATTGGAATTGTCCCAATTCAGAATTGGGATGAGAATTTTGTAATTTTGGCAACCATTATGCTAACTAAAAACTAAAAATTTTTATAATACTGTAAACATTAATTCTAACCCTAACATTAATTCTAAAGTTCTAATTCTGCCAAAACAATTTGTAAAATTCCCATCCGGGGCAGCCCGATTTTTAATCGGGACGATTCTATAATTAAATGAAAAAAAATGAAAGACAAAATAGTAATGAAAAAGTTCAAAAAAATACGAAAGTATTAAAAGATATTAGAGATTTTATAATGTGATATTTTATAAATGCTTATTTATCACATGTTGATCGGTCACACCCCACATGAAAAATTTATAAAATACAAAATTGTAAAATTGGGGTCATGCAATCTGCATACTATAAATGATTGTTAAAGACTATAAAGACCATGATTATAATACATTGTTACCTGGAAAAAATAGTTTGTTGGAAATATACAAATCCAACAGCTAAACTATAAAAGACCCAAATCTAAAAATAAAATATTTAAATTTATAATGCTTTTAATTTAGAACATTTTTAAGTAATTTGCTTATATCTTCTATTAACTAAAATAATTACAATTAATTAAGATAATCTAGTGCTCGGCACAATCAAACAAAAATTTGACAGTCAAATACTTGCTAATACTTGTGATTAAGTCGGACATCAAATGATTGCAGATTAACCAATAGTATATGGGGTGAAGTCAATAGAAATGGGACAAATTTATTAGATAAATTTGTCTCATTTCTATTGACTCCACCCTATATATTTAGCTTTGGTTAATCTGCAATTGTTTGATATCTGATTTAAACATAAGTATTAACAAGTATTTGACTATCAAATTTTTGTTTGATTGTGCCAAGCACTAGTTGTGCTTATATAAAGATTTTTTTTTTATAAATTAAATCATAGTTTGGTCTAAATAAAAATGTGATTATATATGATATAATTGTACAAAAGGTGACTATATAGAGGGTCAACTGTATATATAAATGCTTTTTAGCCAATCAGAATATATTATATACTAATACTGATTGGAATAAAAAAAATTTTAAAAACTTTTTTAATTTTTTTTATATTAAATACCAAATTTTAAAAACAAACCATAGTAGCTTTAAATATTTATACTTTAAACTATAAACTTTATTAAAAATTTTAACCAATAATTTAGATAGAACTAATGAAAAACAATAATTTTTATCAGTTATATTTTTAAAAAATATTTAAAATTTAAGATTTTATAGATTTTTTAAAAAACATATAATTTTTGATAAGTGACTTGGAGCACTATATTTTAAAATTTTGCTTATAAAACTATTTTTTAAAAACTAAAGAAAAAAATTCCTTATAAAAAAAATTTTGGTATAAACTATGTTTTGCTTCTATTTTAGCTTCTAATACTAATTCTAATAATAGTTAAAATTAATTTTAAATTGTTTTTATTTTAATAAAAATTGTTGATTTATAAATACTATATATAAACACAATATAATAAATAATAATATGTGTAAGATACACAGTGTAATTTAAGAAATTTTCTACATAGAATTTTTACTTAAAAAATTTAATACGAAAGTATGTTATGTAATGTTAATTAGTTAAAAAAATTGAGTACTATAGTACAGTATTTTCTAACCATTTATTAGATCAGTTTATAATTTAGTATATAATGAATAAAGACAATTTATATCTGATAAAGCCCAAATTATTGAATTAAACAGTATAATATTAATTATTCAGTAAACAACATACTGAAAAAAGTCTGATTGACTACCAAAATTAATATCGATAGTCTTCATATTTCACGAATACTTTTAATACCTTTATTACAATACATCAGCGTATATTGTATAGTAAATTAATAAATTTCATGATGAAAATATATGTAATAACAAATTTAAACTTAATCTATTGGACGATTGGTTTGATTATTTGAGTATAAAATTTTTGTTTAATAATCTCTTCTAATTCAACGCAAATCAGTTAATTTGTTATATGCATCCAGAGAAAAAACAGACGAATATCTCAATAGTTTTTGTAAATTTGATTTATGATAAAATTCTTGTGTCTATAGCTTCATACGCTTCATTGGTGTATTTAGTAAAAACAATATAAAGTGACCATGTATACTAATGTGAATTTATTATCAACCAAAGTGTATTACATTCAACAATTCAATGAAATTAATTTTCTTATAAAACTTATCAGATGAACAATTACCAATATTTTGATATAATAAAATAAAATTAATTTATTAAATTAACTATGTTAGCATTTCAAATTAAAATAAGAAGTTTAGAGAATTTAGTCTGTGAAAAATAACAAATAAAAATAAAAATAAAAAATAGCTTTTTATACTTCTAAGTACATTTCCTAGTTGCCTAGAATTCTATTTCCGTGATGGTTGTTCTTTCATAATTATGATACCTTCTGCACTCTTTTATCCTTTTTATATAAACTATTTTCCAAAATTTTAAACTTATATCTCTTTACATTATCCCATCCATGGTCTTCGAAATATCTAAAATCCTGTCTTTTTACAGAAATTTTAAGATGTAAATGTTTGAGGTTCCTCAAATTGCCATGATTTAATGTCATTCGAAGAAATCTCATACCACCCCATGGCACTTTAGAAACTTTCGTTTCCTCGTCAAGTATTTGCGTTGCAAGGTGAAATATTGAAAATAATTCATCATCATTACATTCAGAAAGTCTCTCAACATGCCGAACAGGAGTTACTATAAATATTGATCTTGCTTTTGCATCGAGCCAAAGATTCAAAAGTTTTTTAGTATTATCACCTATAGTTGCTGGAAAATCAATTCTTGAAACCTTATTTGTTTCAGATTCTGAATTACACGAAAGGCAATTAAAAGTTTGTTTTGGCAAAGTTCTCCAACTTTTCATATGAGAGATTCCTACGAAAAATCTATCATTTTTTTCCATAATGAAAAACTTAAAATGTTTCCATCCTTTCTCTACTTCTATTTCCGCTAATATTTTTTGAAGGAAGCCTACGGAATGATTGAAAATTTCATTATTGTCTTGAGAAGGCGTATAATTGACACCACCGAGAAAGTCAACCAACTTGCATGGAGTTTCTGGAGTAAAAGTAAAATCACTAGGGTTTTTTTTTTCTTTATATTGTTTTTTTTCAAGCATTTGATAGATTTGATTACCTATACCAGCTTTATTGATTGTTTAATACTAACTTAGTGATTGGACCCGTTAACCTGGGTGACCCGTCGGACTGATCCGGGTAGACTGACAGGTATTCCCAGCCAATCACTAATGTTTGTTTACATTGGGTAAAATAGGATTATAGGAAGACATTCATTTGATTGGTTAATTTTTGTAGATCTACCCGTGATTACCTGTGATAATTAACCAATTAAATTACTGAATTACATTATTTTATTTTGCAATATTATATAGAAAACAAGAGAATACTGGATATATACGAAAGAAGCAAAAATGTCAAAATTTTATACTATATAACTAAAACATATACATGAAATGTGAGAAATAATATTTTTCACCAAAATCATGCACATACATAATATCAGATATGTTTTTATTGTTAATAAGCCAAATCTACTACCTATGATCAATAAACCCAAAAACATTACAAGAACCAAACTAACTTAAATATAAATCTAATTTTTTTCACTATAACAAACTTGCACCTACTATGCCAAGGTAAACAGTTAGTAGTTGTTTATTTAGATCAGCTTAATTGAGTCGTTAGCAAATACATTTTTTTGGTTTACCTTTCTTTTAGTTCGTTGACTGTTTATTTTGTTTTTATAAAAATAAGTTCGTATTGTCTAATAAACGAGAAGCATATTTTGCCTTCTAAGTAAAGTCTGTCAAATTTAGAGATTATTTGAGATTATTTTGTAGAGTTAATATTAGCGTTCGTTTAAAGATAAAGATGATTTTTAAACGAATCTTTGTTAGTGAAACGTTACAATTTTAAAAAAAGTACTTTAAAGTGTATAAATAGTTACCCGGGCAATTGATTTACATCAGCCAATCAGACGAAAGTCTGCCTATGAGGATATATCGGCTAAAAAATTCTTTTTTCAGTAATTTTTATAGCAAAAGGAGCTATCGGTTTGATATATTAAATACACAAAATGTTTATTCCCCCAAAAAAGTTTCTTTCTTTAAAAAATGACTATCGAAAGTGAAGTTGTCTCTGTTCTAGTGCGATACTCTGCAACAATGCTCGGAAACAAAAAGGTTGATCATCTTTCAGGAAACGGAATGGAATATATTCATAAAGGGTGAGTTTTCTCATTGAATGTTTGTTGAATTATCGTGTATTTGAAGGCACGCTGTCACGCCGGTGTAATAAAATATCTAAGGAAGAATTGAAAGCTCTTCGTGGCCACAGTTTTTTTTTTTACTGTGAACGTTCTTATCCTTAGTTACTTGATGATCCTTACGCGGAGGAGACTGATGAATAGGATACGCGCTAACCAAAAGCACTCACCGTTGAATACCCCGATCCGGCGTGTTTCTCTTTGGTTGTTAATAAACGATGACACAATACTCATTTGTTTTTTTTCTTGCAGGGGACCAAACGATGGCGGAGTAGATAAAGATATTGATGATTGCATGAAAAAACTCCAACTTAGAGTCTGGAGTTATGAAAATGCGATTGAATGGATTCCATTTGAAAAATTATCTGATATTGAAGAAATCGGTATGTAATTTGCGATATTAGAGGAATTAAGCTCATAATTCAGTGCAAAAATTGGACCAATTCGATAGGCTTGCATAATATTATTTAATCAAAATTTTTTTTCTATTATATATATATGTTATTAATGATAATATTACAGGTGGTGGGCGAAGAACCAGGTTCGATCGGAATTCTGGTGGCCCCCTTTGCGAATTTTACAGATGAAGCAATAAAATCGGCCAGAACATCTCGATTCCCTAGAAGACGCTTCGATTTTACCTTTTATTACGACCTTTCAACCCATTAATTCCGATAATACGTATCTGCCGATTTTATATTTTTCCCTTAACATTAATTCCGTCTCCACTTCTATACCATTAATTTCGTTCTTACTTTCGTCATTCTTTATATAACTATTAATTTCATTCCTACCCTACTCTTGTCATTCTTTATATAACTATTAATTTCATCCTACTTTTGTCATTCCTTAATTCCAAATGTGGTACACGGGTTACTCGAGCATTTATTTTTGTATATTTTAACAATCTTTAATCTAACGTATGCGATGCACGGAAAAAATATAATATAAAATAAAATTAAAATTAATTTATTTTAAATTTAATAAAATAATTTTATTTATAAAGTTAATTTATTTTAAATATAATATAAAATCTTATTTATTAAATACTAGTGTTGTAAATAGCGAAGTATCCTAAATCAAGATTAGCAAAATAACTCGGATTGATATTTTTAAAAAAATTAGCACTGGACTGAAGCTTTGTTTGTTTAAATGTGTAAATTTCTCTGTATTCTGTATTTTATCCTGTACTTTGTTTTAATTTTTATATAATAAATCTGGCCCTGGTGGCTAATTTAGCGTAAATGATCGTGTTTACTTTTGCATGTGTATTTCGTTATTGATATTTTTCTCTTGGCAAAAGCAATCGCCGTGACAAATTTTCACGCGCACATAATTTTTTATTTATCTATCAAAAAAATATTTTTCAAACCGTGTACAGTAAAATTATATAAATTAATATTAAGCATGCAAACACAAAGATACGAATCTAAAGATTTATCCGAAGTAGATTCATTGAAACAACGAATCATTGATCTTAAAACTGAAAATGCTTCACTTAGAGATAAGTTAAACCAAACTGTAAAAGAGAATAAGGTTGGATCATAAACTAGAGCAAAGCAATAAAGAAAAAAAAATTAAGATATGATATTGAAGAAATCAAAAAGAAAAACCAATCCGTAACTAATGTACCTTCTACAGAAGACTATATCTGATGTATCCGATATTCAAATTCTGATGAACTTAATAATTTGATATTACCGTAAACTGCTGACTCAAGTACCCTTATTGATTTATACTCAGTGAAATTTAGTGGCTTAATTTTGATTTGTACTGGGTACTATACATTATATACTTCAATGAGAAGTACCCGGGTACGTACAGTGGCGATCATAAGGCAAAAAAAAAATTTTGCTTAGATCGCATTATTTCGAGCAATTTTAGTCGTATCCTTTTATTTTTTTTTTTTTTTTTTAATTTGTTCGTGAATAGTTATTTTTTTTAACATCGTTATAAGTTTGGATCCTTGGTTTTCCTATTTGAGAAATATGTTGTATTTGTTGTGCCTCAGATGTATCCATCCTTGCGTCGGATGCAATCCGACGCACGTCAGATGCCGATTTTTAGATGACGCACGTAGCCTGTCGATCGGTCACCTGAGGTGCGTAGGTTGTAATCTGACGCAAGATAAAAAAAAAAATTTTAGCAAATGTAAGAACGTAATTACGAAAAATGAAATAACGTCATTACAATAAGGGCATAAAAAGCCTTTTTGCTTTTACCTTACCTTCTTTTTTTTTTTGTACTTGACTTTCATTTCTTGTTGGTTAGCTTGGTTCTTGTTTCCCACTAATACATTTGACGTTGGCTTAATTCTTGGTGCCCACTAATAGTACTTTGAACATTGGGTTTGTTCTTGGTGCCCACTAATACCTTATACGTTGGATATTAGGTTTGTTCTTGGTGCCCACTAATAGTACTTGGACATTGGCTTGTTCTTGGTGCCTAATACCTTGAACGTTGGATGTTGGCATTGTTCTTGATGTCTACTAAATAGTACTTTGGATGTTGAGTTTGTTCTTGGTGCCCACTAATTATACATTGGATGTTGGCTTTGTTCTTGGTGCCACTAATACATTGGATGTTGGCTTTGGCTTTGTTCTTGGTGCCTACTAATACATTTGATATTGGCTTAGTTGCCTTATTTTCTTTAACATCATTTTTTTTTTTTTTTTTTTTTTGCACAAATTTTTTTTTTTTTTCACCGCCTATAAAATAGAATATATTCATTTATTAGTAGAGATACTCTTGACTAAATCTTGAAAAATTATATAAATAATCTTCCAAAAGCAAAGCAAGGAAAAGCCTTAATCAATCTGGAACTTTTAAATAAGATAAAAAACATTTTACTAAACCCCAAAGACACCACCTCACTTTATAACAAGAATATATGAGGTTGGGCCAAAAAAAAATTTAGGCTCAGGGTGTGGCGACCTAGTGAAGTGGTGGGGTTGCTGCACCCCCAAACGGCAGGTCTAGAGTTCGAATCCCACGAACGACGATTTTGAAAAAACTAGATCTGTATCGGTTAACGTTAAGATTATCGGTTGGATCCAGATATCTGT